CGCTTAATTTCCAAATAAGGAATCTCACCCAGTTCCATTTATATTTATCAAAATCTACTAAAATTTAGTTTTAGCAAAACCAAACAGGGGCTTAATTTCCAGATAAGGAATCTCACCCATTTCTTTCATGCTCCTACTTGTGGAATTTGCTTTTTGTTTATTAGTTGCTTTAGATGATGGATAAAATGAAAAGGGAGCTTTTGTGCCTTTTTTGGGTTTCAGGAAGGGGTAATAACTTAGAACTCATGGTGAAAACCGAGAGAAAACGATGAAGAGAAATTGTGAATTATTTTCTTATACTAAAAAGACTAGCAACGCAATCAAATATGGGTCTCTGTAGCAGTTATGCAGGACAAGTGTAGGGGGTCTCTCCTGTAAGCTTTAGCATTAAAATCAAATTTGGAGGTTAGGCCAATGCAGTTTGTTGGCTGATACATGAGAATATGACATTCTTAATATTGTTCATTGCTTTGATGGACGGATAAACAAATAGTTTCTCTGCTTTAGGTTTCTCTTTTTGTTTTTTGTTATAGGGATATGTCATGTCATATATTTTGATGGTACGAGTAAATCAAAATGTATCGTGCGGTTTACAGACGTTAAGGGCTTTATATAATAGCATAGCCAAAGAGAGTGAAGAAACTTGAGCCATTGCACTGTGTCCCTCACACCTCACATCTAGGTGACTAGGTCTAGGTTTGTATCGCAAACACAGAAATGGGTTTAAAAGAGTTGCGGATTCTTTAAATTAGACTCAGGGCCTGTTCGGTATTGATTTTGAGAATTTATTTTTTGACCGTTAGGAGAAAAGTGGGAGCCATTTGTGAGTGAAGAAGTCAAAAAGTATGGCTGGAATAGTAAAATAACAATAAAAAAATAATATTTTTGGATGAAAAATTGCTCCCAAACAGACTCACACGTTGTGGTGAAATCATTTAAATGACCATTTTAGATTAAATTTACTGGCTTGTTCACATCGTAACTAATATAAAAAGAATTACTAGACTAGACTAGAAGTTGGTTTATCCGAAGTTATCCCAACACTTACTGGACGGAGACTAATTTATTCAAGTAACTGTTGTGGATTTTCTCCATGGAAACAAGACTTCCTTTCAACACATGCATGAGAAATCTAGATATTGATAGAAACCCGTCAACTAAAAGACGTAAATTTGTTGAGTAAAACAACAGATTAATGCACATGAAGGAATATAAGCTTCTATGATTATATGTCAGAATTAAGCCATTTGTTGAGAGTGGTCCAATTTTTAGATCTGCAACCATCTTTTAATTCACCTTTTCTGAGCAATTTTCTAGCTGGAAAAGGAAAATATCATGTAAATAGCTTGTCATTCTGCTTTCCTTTTCAGTTCGAGGAACTCACTGAGGATTTTTTTTTTGTCCTTATTATCATGCAGGAAATCATCTCGAATAAACACCACTCTTGCAGTTAATGGTTTGACACCATTGCTAATATCGAGACTTGACCATCCAGATGCTATAGCTCGCCTGAATTTGCTTAAATTAATTAAGGTGAGCAAAGGACTAATTCTTATGCTGCATCTGTTGTATGTTACATAGTTCACTCATTGTCCTAGTACAGGTCGTACTATGTTAAATTTCTTGGATAGATCAAGTTATTAGTAGATTCAGGAACTTCCTATGCTAAAGACAGCGTCTCATCCAGTAGATTCTACTTGGTAGAGTGGGGCGACGTTCTACGTTAAGTTAGTGCCTCCTCTGAACCCCCCGCTCGTCTTCTACAATGGATGAACCTTATAACATTACAGATACAGAAAACTTTCTCAAAGTTGAACTACAAATGGGAGGTTTGGTAGTCACTTGTATATTTTTTGGTACTGTGCAGCTGAATTGATTTGAGCTCTTTAGTTGATCAGTGTGTCTACTCCTATTTCGGCTATTATACGTGCTCCTCCCTGACCAGTCTTTCTGCCCAAGCATGTCTTGCAAAAACTCAGGACTCATTTTGAAATTTTAGTTGATCAATGTTCTTGGATTTGGTTCAAATGAGGAGAAAATTATCTAAATAGAAATGAGTTTCCAGTTTTCTTCATTTCTATTTCTACCTTGATTGTGCAAGGTTTAAGAACTTGTGCATTCTTTGGTACGACTGATTTGCATCATAACCAGTTGTCATGATATATATAGAGTACGACTAGTCCATGTACCTATTTGACGGGATACTCATCAAATTACTCCTCATTTCATTATTTCCAAAGGATTTCATATTACGTGTGTTTTCAGGTAACCAGTTAATAACTTCACATGATCTCTTTGACAGATATTCAATAGCATGCTATGATGGTTATCTGTTGTTGAGTCCAGTAAAATGCTATACATTTGGATGCTCAAAACACATTTCTTTTGATGATCGACTCTGGGTGTTTGTTTATCAGGCTGTTTATGAGCACCATCCTCGTCCAAAGCAACTGATCGTGGAGAATGATTTGCCTCAGAAGCTTCAAAATTTGATCGAGGAGCGAAGAGATGGGCAGAGTTCTGGTGGCCAAGTTCTGGTAAAACAAATGGCTACTTCATTACTCAAAGCACTTCATATCAACACGGTCTTGTAAATTCGTGCTTTGTCCTAGTTTACTTGTTTGTTGACATATGCTTCTTAATTTTGATTTATTGTTTCCGTTTTCTTGAAATCAACATTGAAGTGTAAATCATTTTCAAGTTGTCGAGCCCCTATGTTTGGAATTGTAGCTGTCTTTAAGCTATATTTATATTAACATGTATGTTTTGTGAATGTAAACTAATTTTATCTTTTTTTGCTCCTAGTATCAATTATAACCTGTGTATATACTGCAATACAAACTGTAAGCAGAATAGGTTATTATTTGTGTGCATTTTGAGCATGCAAATATAATTTTTGGTGTTATGTTTGTGGAATTATCCTCGATGCATTTAAAAATTGTTGATAGAAGATTTATTCCTCACCTACCCTATAAACTACTAACCTGTGGAGCATGGACACTTATTAGGACACCTTGTGTGTCATCTTGAACACCGACATTTCTCAATCTCGTTGAGCGTGGAGAAGCATTGGGAACCCCAATTTCTTTCTTCGGAGCCGTTTCTTTTCCCGTCCCCCCACCCCGGCATAGCGCTTCGCTTAGAAGGCAAGGGGGGAGTACTCTTAACTGAGCCTAAAGGCTATCCAGCTTAAGGATGAAATTCATTAGAAACAAACTAATTATAGAAATATCTCTCAGAGGTTTACTAATTATTTGATTGTTGGCTGGTCTCTTTGTATGTGTTGTCCGGAATTGATAGAAGATTTATTCCTCACCTACCCTATAAACTACTAACCTGTGGAGCATGGACACTTTTTAGGACACCTTGTGTGTCATCTTGAACTCGGACATTTCTCGAACTTCAGGACGTATTTGACAAGCAGCATGTCGTGCGTGATTTTTTATATGTACAAGTTAAATTTTCAATGTTCAAGGGATAGTTTAGGATTTGACATCCCCATGCATCAGTATCTCCCACTGTGGAAGACTGGATATTTACTGTCCATAGAAGCAATAAAACCGGCCAATCCAACACAACACAACCATTTTCAATACCAAATTATACTTCAACTCATTGGCTGGATTGCGAAATTAGTTTCAAACAGGAAACTAGGCCTGGGGAAAATCTACAAATGAGGCCCCAGGGAGCTGATATGTTGTAGGGTTCCCTGCCCACCGCACGTTCCAACTAAGGCAATTCATTGGAAACTCGCTGATTGATAAGGAATGAGCCCATTGTTGGTGATGTGTTCTTTCATCTTGGTCCGTAAGTTGCCTTGGTTACTCAGAAGCAGACAAATCAGAGCAGTAGCTGCTGTTAATTTGAGCAGTGTGGATACTTTGTTACTAGTCGTAACTCTATTATCATGGTTTCACTTGAATCATTCCAGTTTCACCTTGTGCGATATGTTTCCAAGAGCAACCTTCAGCCCAATGTTTACGCATCCAATCTAGGTCCTCTCTCTCCTAACTGCGGCCACCGCATCCTCCATGGCTGCCACTGAGTTCATTCTCGCGCTTCTGCCTAGCACGGCTCACTCTCCGTCCTCTGCCCCTCATTCTCCCATCCCCGTGCGGGTTGAGGAAGTCAGCCACCATCATATAGTGGTTAGGACATCTCTCTTTCGAGGCAGTG